CAGAGTCATTTTGTCCTTCCTGATAGTGGCAACTGCCAGAATTATCAACCTAAAAAATAAATGTTTTCTATTAAAAAATATTTCTGAGAGTTCTCAAATAATAGAATTAAATACATAAGACTAGTAATTCAATAACTGAAGTTTTTTCTTCTTCACCTAAAAGCATTATGTCCATATACAATGCTTAACTGACCTGCTCAAGCATAGGCAAAGAGTTAACATTTTGTAAACCAGGATCTGCAAGATAAGAGATAAACAGTATTAAATATGCCAATACCTTATTTTTATGTTAATTATTATACATAGCTTTAATGTCAAAGATATCGGTACAATACTTAGATTTTCATCAACTTACAATGTTGACAATTAAATGATTCTATGTAAAGCAATATATTACTTTTCCAGGACCTTACCTGAATCAATAACGTTTTCCCCATTTTTGGAGAGATTGCTCATTGCAAATGGAAAACCAAAATCATCTTCAATACATTTGTTGAAATTCTAGAAATGCAGAGAAGTTCTTAAATATACTGTTCCATACCACTTTGATACCCAGCAATGTAATACATAAATATGCAATATATATATTTGCCAAAGAAATAAATGTAATTATAAATTCTTTAATGTACAGTGTTTAAAATATTTGGCAATCTAAACAAAGCAAAAATTTTAATTAGCTATTTTCACTGGTTAATAAAGCTAAAAATTACTTAACATGAACTTTGTAAGTTTGTTCCACCTGAGAAACTTGGTATTATTTCCTCTGTTCCATGAGACTTCTACTGTATAAATGGATTTTCCCTCCTTATCTTGTCCACCAGGAAGCTCAAAGCAAAACCTGAAACTCTGTCACAACACTAATTATTACCCATATATAAGCATTTGTCCAAATATTCTCAATTTTCCTTGGAAATTTTCCTAATTTAAATTTTACTATTTCATTGTGTATGTCTTAGGAGTGGCCGCAAATCATGTAAGGAAAGAGGGGAGATTTAAATGAGCATAGTCCACTGTGTAAGCAGAGCTCTAGGGACACCAATGATTCTTTTAATAAATGAAGCCACAATAGGGCCAGGGATTTAGCTCAGTGGCGCCGCGCCTGCCACGCAAGCGCAAAGTCCTGAGTTCCATCCCCGGTGCCTACCTAAATAAATAAATAAAGCCACAATAATACATTCATTATTCATTCCAAACGATGCTATTCAAACGTCAATCAAACCATATTTAACGAAAAGAAATAAGTATAGAGTAGTAGCAGTAAGAGTTCCCTCCGCCTCACACACCCACAGCTGGGCACTGTCAGGCCAAGATTCTTATGCAAATTCACCTGGAAGTTCGAATCCGCTGCCGAGCTCTGAGGCTTCACCGCCGACACCTGACTGCCGCTTAATCTCGGCGGCAGGAACAACGTGAAAGGCTTCGGCTTTTCCATTCTCTCCCTTTCGGCCGGCAATCTCTATCCCGGGGAGGTGGAGAGCGAGTCCCATTACCTCTCCGTAATGGTTTCCTCTCTTCTCTACCCGCGCCCCGCGCCCTTACTCGAAGCCAGCGGCGGCCACAGGCGCCGTCCCCGCTTCCCCCGCCGCCGCCGCCGAGCCCCCTCAGAGACGCCTGAAAACAAAGCCCGCGCCTCGGCCGCCCCTCGATCGCCTCCCGGAACCAACCCCGCCCAAGCGACGGTGGCGGAGCGAGGGCGTCGCAAGGTCGCCCGGCTCTGGGTTCCACCCTCAAGGAAGGAATCCGGACGCCTGTCCTTACCTTTGAAGAGTTCGCGAGTGGGCACCTTGATGCCCACGTGAACTGCTGTCTATGAGGGCGGCGGAAAGAACCAGAAGCTTCTACCTTGCAGAACCTCCGAAAAGCGGGAAAACGGAGGCTCCGCCCCCGAGGCACGAGGAAGAGCCACGTGCCTCGACCAACTGTTAACGGTCCTTTGTGCCGAGCGCAAGACCTATGTCTCGCAAGATTTGCTTCTCTCGGGCCCCCAACAATGCTTTCCGGATTGTTCCTCAAAGTTGTAGTTCTTTACCCTCTACTGTTGTCCAAAAGACAAAAAATAAAAAATAAAAAAAATTTTAAAAACTATCTGGTTTCAGGCTTGGGTAACTAGATAGATCATTATCCTGGTATTAATCTCTCCAAGTATCATAATTTGACACTTTTCTAAAGGACATTAACAGTATTTTTAAATAAATCATTGTGTTTTTTATAAATTATCAGATGCAATAGTTTCTGCTAAAAACATTTTTGAGCTGAAACTGATGATTCAGTTTAACGCGTTCATTTTACATTTTAAGAAAATTGGGTCTACCAATACAAAAAATGGGCAAGTGAAATGAGTAGACATTCCACAGAAGAAGTACAAATGGGTACTAAATACATGAAGAAATGCTCAACATTACTGACCATTAGAGAAATGGAAATTAAAGCAACACTAGATTCCATCTTACTCCAGAAAAAATGGCCATCATCAAGAAATCAAACAATATTAAATGCTGATGAGGCTGTGGGAAAAGGAACCCTTCTACATTGTTGGTGGAATGTAAAGTAGCACAACCACTATTGAAATCGGTATGGAGATTCTTCAAAAAGCTAAAACTATAAACTACATTTGACCCAGCTATTCCCCTTCTTGGTATTCCCAAAAGAGTTAAATACATCATATTACAGTGATATATGCATACCCATGTTCATAGCAGCATAATTTTTAATAGGTAATCTTGGAAGCAGCCTATATGTTCATCAACAGATGAATGAACAAAGCAAATGTGGTATTTAATACACACTGGAGTACTACTCTGCCATAAAGAAAGATATACTATGTTTGAGTCATTATTAGGAAAATGGATGCACTTTGAGACCGTAATGTTTAGTGAAATAAATTAGACACAGAGGCTTAAATATCACATGATGTCTCTTCTATGAAAAACCCAAAGTACAAATAAAGAGCAAAATAAAAGGTCATAGGAAGTAGGAAGACGGATCTTTCTCAAAGGGGAAGGGGATTAAGAGATAGAGGGAAAGGGGAGGGAGAAGAAGGAAAGGGGATGAAAAAAGGAATTCAGATGACTTATGTGCATGTACCAACTCCACTCAAGGAATGCAAACATTATGTATTGCAAGCATGTACAAATAGAAAAAGGAAGGGGCTCAAGAGTGGCATGGAGGGAGCAGGAGGGATGGGAACTAAGCTGAAAAACAGGAATTAAGATACATTATGTACATGTACCAATTTCCCCCAAGGAATGTAAGCATTATGTACTACAGACAGGAACTAATAAAAAAAAGGTAAATAAAAGAATTTCTGAGGAAAAAAAATGGGCCCATGTGTTCTAAAAGAGAAAAGACACTCCTGAAAAATGACACCAAGAAGGTACACAGGTACCATGGAGGGAAATGACTGATACATCTAATTAAGATTTTTGAAGTTGAGGGTACAAATTTAATATGACAGTTGTGGCCAGGCATGGTGGCACACATCTGTAATCCCAATATTTAGGAGGCTGAGACAGGAGAATCACAAGCTCAAGGCCAGCCTGGGGTTCATAGTGAGTTCAAGGCCCATCTGAACTATGTATCAAGACCCTGTCTCTAAATAAATAAATAAAGTGAGACTAATTGTCAACTTTTTAAAATATGACAGTTTTGGAAAAGGTTGTGCAATAGTAAAAAAAGAATTCAACTATGCTCTTTTTTCTTTATTGAACACCAAAATGCTACTCCCAATATTTTGGAGGTTTTAAAAAATATATTATTGTTATATTTCTTGTTCTCATTTCACAGAAGAAGTATAAAGGAACAAGCAGATGTGAGATCAAAAGGGAAAAGTATCTGGAATTTGTGTATTTTCTCTTTTCCTTGAAGACAATCATGTGACCACCTGCCAAAAGGATGGGTGTGCCCCACTGTAGGTCTTACAGTCATCTATGTTGATTCTTCCGTTACCCATTGTATGTGAGGATGACTTGTCATGTTGTTTTCTTCCTCATTGTCCTTAAATCAAGGAAGGAGAGTGTTATGGCTTGTATCTAGATGTTCTCCCAAAGCCTCATGCAGTCATAGATGGGGCTTTTTGGAGATGGCTGGATCTAGAGTGTGTGCTGCTGGGATCAAGGATGTGATACTGGGACTGATTCCTGGTGCGATGCTAGGATTAAGGTTGCCCTACCCTGGGTGTGAGTGCTACCCACCCTAAGGATGGATAAAATACAAGGGACAGAAAGAGGGTCCTGCTTGTGCCTTGTAGCTTGCTGCTTTTGCTGCCTTCTGGCTGCTGTGAACTGAGTTTTTAGGGTTGTTTTTTTCTCATCTGTGATTACTTGCCTCTCTCCCATGCCACCCTGCCTTGGATTATGGACTGAAACCTCTACAAACTGTGAGCTACATCAATCTAATAAATCTACAAAATGTAAGGTAAATAAACCTTTCCTCCTTTAACTTTGGGTGCCTTAGCAATGAGAAAAGTAACCAAGACAGAGAATCAAATAGAGTCCAAAGTCATGCCTCAGTTTACCTCCAGGCTGGCTCACACAAGATGTCATTGGATAAAGTTGGAGGAGTTATCCTAAAGAGAGTGGAAACCGCAAGTGAGCCCACCAAGTAGGTGACTCATCACTGAAAAGAAGTCCAAGACTCATCAGTAAGACCCTGGAAAGGAGTCTCAAAGAAAATAAAGTGTGAGCCCTCAAGAAAGAGGCCTAATATTATGACAACTTAAATTCACAACACTTCGTTTACTTGAATATCTAGTCATTCAAAATAAATTGCCACCATAGAATTTTTCGCTTTTATGTAGTATCTCATATGAAGTTTATTTTAATATATTATCATCCAGTTCCTATAAGGACTAAAATATTTGTGGTAAATTCAGGTTTTAAGAACTTTATTGTTCTTACAGAAGATGTTGAAAAGATGTCAAAACATTTTCTATATGAATGAGAAGAAAATCATGCTAATTATATGTTAAAATAATTTTTAAATTTGTTATTTTAATTTTTCAATATCTTGCATCACAAATTTTTCAATGTGGACTTATGAAAGATCTCTTTTTTTAAGACACTAAGATAAGATAAAAGTTAACAAAACATTGCTTTCCTTTAATAATTCATAAAATGTGCCAGTAACAGGCTGGGGATTTAGCTCAGTGGTTCCGCCACCTGCCCCACAAGAGCAAGGACCCAAGTTCAATACCCGGTACCAAAAAAAAATAATGTGCCAATAAGAACAGGTTTTAAAATATTAGTTCCTTATACTATCAGTCTGGCCCTAATTAATGAGGTTCACAAACTGCTTTATCCTAATTGCAACTGTTTCCACTAGCTAGCTGTTTTTTAACGTCTATAAATTACTAACCTAAATGAAATAAGTGGAGTTTCTTTAGGCAACAACTATTATGGTTCCCTTTGATGGAACTATGCAAAATCAATAGCCATTGCTTCCTTTGAGTCCAATCTTGAAAAGAATCCTGGATGTCCATTTAGTGATAGTCCTATATTCCACAAAATTTGATGAGCACAGATGTTGTCCATTTTAGGGTGGTCCACTGGTAACATACCAGTCTTGTTTGTATTCTTTAAGCCAGTCATTCAATTTAGATTTAGAAAATTTAGTACAAACCACAACGTTCTAAAATTTTAGCCATGTGAATGCAAATTCCATTTCCCAGAGAATAAAGCAGTCAGTTTGGGCTCCTTTGTTTTCCACGTGCTAAGTATTTCTGAGTGGTTGTGACTCAGAGCTCTCAGTTCAGTTAGCATCCCTATGAGACGAGCAAAATGCTGTGGGTCTTCTGCATGATAAATCTTTGAATATTTATACAAAATGTGTAAAATGGGTTCCTGTAAATTCTCCACATGTTGCTTATTTTTAAGGCATGGACGATCTGAAAAATATCATCATATTTATCTTAGTCTCTGTTGAAAAGTGGTAGATTATGGTGAATTCATATAAAACAATGTAGATTTTAAATAATAAAAATAACATATTTACCAAAACATTAATATATGTCACATATTATGCTAAGCAACTGACCTCTGTGCAATTATTTTATTTAATCTTCATGATAGTCTATGAAAGAAGTTCTGTTTTTACCACCAGCCTTCAGATGAGCTTCTTGAAGCTTAGAGAATTAATTTCTACAATGTCACAAAGGAAGGAACAGTGAGAAAGTACTTGTAAGAATATAAGTGCAACCAGAGGCTTAATTGAAACTTTAAAAGATTAAGTAACTTCTCCAAGGTGAACAGTAAGTGAAAGATCAAGCTTCTAAAGCTGTAAAATATGTGTCAACCAAGAACTTCTTAGTGGTTAGGCAGCTTTCATTCCTCCAGTCGTTGTGCTGGAGATGTGGCAGTGAACGTAACAGACAGAATCACCTGCCCTCATTAAGCTTACATTCTGGATCTGGAAGGAGTGGAGAAGGAAAGAATGTTTTATTTTAAAGTAAAAATGTAAGATGACAGACAGTGATGTAGAGAAAAATAAACAGAGAAATAGATAAGAATTTAGGGTAGAGGGATAGTAGCTATTTTAAAAAGCCAATCAGAGATAAAATGACATAGCAGAAGACCAAACTAAAGAAGGAGGCAAGTGGCTACCTGGAGGAAAAGCTTTTCAGGCAAAAGGATTATCAAGAATGGCAGAACCTGTAGCAAGAGCCTGCTTGAAATTTTCAGTGAATATCTGTGTCCAAAACAGTGTGGCTGAGGTGTAGTAAGAAAAAGGGATAGTGTAATTAACATGGCAAAATGAAGCTTTAAAAGTTAAATTTTTTTTCTTCTTTGCACACAAACAACTTGTCCAAATTCCCTCAGGCCTACAAAATGAACCTCCTCAGCTCAGATGAATGGACAGAATATGCAAATGCTGGCCCCAGGAGGTCAGGGTCCAGGCTAGACAAACAGCTTCTCTAAGCTTCCTCATGTCTCACGCATAACCACTACCCTATCCTCTCCTCAGCCCACATGAAAGGGATAGACCAGGCAGATACCGGTCCGAGGAGGCCGAGGCCCAGTTTCCTTTCCAGTGAGGGAGAAAGCTGAAATGGATGAGAGTGATAAAGTAAGCCTGCAGATGTACTGTCTTATGGTATTCCACTCCCCTCTGTGTCTCATTATTAAAAAGGCCCTGGTTGGGTTGTTCCCTTAACTACTATGAAGTGCCCTTTTTTGTTCCTTCTAATCAGTTTTAGCTTGCTGTTCACCATGTCTGAGATTAAAATTGCTACCTCTGCTTGTTTTGGGGGTCCTAATGCATGAAATATTATTTTCCAACCTTATTTTTAGTCTATTAATATCTTTTTGGATTAGATGAGTTTACTGAATGCAACAGTGTTGGATTCTGTTTTTTGATCCAGTCTGCCAATCTGTGTCTTTTAATTGGAGAGTTGAAGCCATTAACATTGAGAAACATTATTGAGATGTGCTGATTATTTACTATCATTGCCTCCTTTCTCTGGTGGTGACTCCTTTGTTTTTCTTTTCCCTTTATTTTTTGTTGGGTTTCTCCATTGGCCTTACTTGGCTTTTTCATTTATCTGACTTTTTAGCTGTGTCAGTTTTGTTCTTTCCACCAAGGATATTTTCAGGAGTGCTGATTTAGCTTTCATATATCTTTTGAGCTGTTCTTTTTCATGAAAAGACATTATTTTTCTATCTACCACAGAATTAGTCTAATCAAGGAAGTGAAAGTCCCTTAAAAAAAAAAAACTACAGTATTCTGAAAAAGGGAATCAAAGAGGATATCAGAAAATGGAAAGATGTTCCTTGCTCTTGGATAGGCAGAACCAAGATTGTCAAAATGGCCATACTCCCAAAACAGTTATACAGTTTCTATGCAGTCCCACTCAAAATACCAACAGCATATTTAACAGAATTACAGAAAACAATTCTAAAATTCATATGGAAACAGAAGAGACCCAGAATAGCAAAGGCAATTTTGCCCAACAAGAACAAAGTAGGAGGCCTCACAATATCTGACTTCAAGCTACACTACAAAGCAATAGTGATAAAAACAGCACAGCACTGGAACAAAAATAGAACATGGATCAATAGAACAGAAGAGAGGGTACAGGAACATCCCCAGACACATTCATCTATTTGATATTTGACAAAGGGGCCAAAAGCGTACATTGGAGAAAAGATAGACTATTCAAAAAGTGCTGCTGGGAAAACTGGATATCTGTTTGCAGATTGAAATTGAACCTATTTCTCTCACCCTGCACTAAATTAAAATCAAAATGGATCAAAAATCTAAACATTAAGGGCCAAGGATTTAACTCAGTGGTTCCACAGCCTGCCTCACAAGCACAAGGTCCCGAGTTCAATCCCCAGTACCAAAAAAAAAAAATCTAAACATTAAAACAGAAACATTGAACATATTGGAATAGCCAGGTGTTGTGGTGCACACCTGGAATCCCAGAAGGATCACTTGAGTTCCAGGCCAGCCTAGACTACATAGTGAGTTCAAAGACAGCCTAACTACATAGTAAGACCCTGTCTAAATAAATAAATAAAATGGAAGATAAAATAGGTAAAACACTTGAGGACATGGGTGTTGGAAAGGATTTCCTAAACAAAACCTCAATTACACAAGTAATAACACCAAGAGTCAACAAATGGGATTATATCAGACTACAAAGCATTTTCTGTACAGGAAAAGTACCAATAACTACAGTGAACAGACAGCCTACAGAATGGGAAAAAAATTTTCTTCCTGCTACTCCTCAGACAGAGAACTAGTATTTAGAATATATAAAGAACTCAAAAAAATTAAGTCACCTGAAATTAAAGGAACTCTCCTATATTTTTGGTGGGAATATAAACTAGTACAACCATTATGGAAATCAATATGGAGATTTCCCAAAGAACCAAAATTATAAAGTCCACATGACCCAGCTATCACTCTTCTAGGTATGTTCCCCAAAGGGTTTAAGACATTGTACTCTGGTGATATATCCATACTGATGTTTATAGAAGCACAATTCACAATAGCTGAATACTGGAAACAGCCTGTATACCCATCAACAGATGATCGGATAAGAAAATATGGTATATAATGGAATATTGTTTGGCTACAAAGAAGGACAAATTTGAGACACTGGTAGGAAAATGGATGCACTTGCAAAATATAATGTTGAGTAAAATAAAGTAGACACATGAGCTTAAATACCATATGGTATCTCTCATTTGAGCAAGCCAAAGTGCAAAGAGAGTAATAAAAGATAGGTAGAAGGGAACAAGGGGGTAGATCTCTTTCAATAGTGAAAGGGTTTAAGGGAACAAGAGTGAGGAGTGGAGAGGAGCAGAAGAGGAAATACGTAGAATAAAGATATGCCTAATAACCTTAGTGAATGTAAACATTATATGCCATAAACATGAACTAAGATTAATAATATCAACAAGAATGAGAATTAGAGGAGCGGGAAGAGGGAGGGAAGGGAAAGGGAATTTTAAAAAGAAACAGGCTGTATTATGTACATGTACCCCCACCCCAAGATGACTGTAAAATGCATGTACTACAAATGTGTACTGATGAAAAAAGATAAAATATGGGGCTGGGGATTTAGCTCAATGGTTCCACCACCTGCCTCGCAAGTGGAAGGACCCGAGTTTGATCCCCGGTACCAAAAAAAAAAAAAAGATAAAATATATTTTTGAAAGACTCTTGAATGCCTAGACACAGTGAGATGGTGATTTGAGGGAAACAAGGTTACTCCATTTCCTCAGAGGTAGCTTTGAATAAACTTTTTCCTTTTCACTAAAATAAATGGCATCATTTGGTTTGGTTAGTGGGAAGCAAATAAACCTAAATGTACAAAAAAAAAACCCACCTAAATGTACAGACTTGAGTGTCTGGTAACAGACTCAGCTCCTGAGAGCCCTGGATCACCCCATTTCCTCCAGTAAGGCAGCAGGTACGCAAGCAAAGAAACTGGCTGCTTGAGACTAGCCAAACCCATAACTGGAACTGGAGGGATATTTAAGGAGCTGCCAGGAATACTTTTGCTCCTGGGGATTCTCTGTTCTTTCTTGTTCGTAGGATCTGCTGTCTATAAATGGTTCAGTTGATAAAAGGAAAAGGTTCTTTGGGAAGCTAAAGGGCTCTGCTTTCCTACTGGAAAATGCACTCCACCATTTGAGATTTCCCTTAGGTCACTTAGCAGGATTATCTGGGGTGAGGTAAGCACCTTCACCATATGGGGCCATCTGGATGTCCTACAATTCATTTTGGGGTTCTGACTAATGTAAAAAGAGATTAAAAGGTCGAAAGAAGTTCCAATATTTGTTTTGTTGGGTTAGAGTACTAATTTGGTTTCTTTGGTTTGCTTTGCTTCAGTTTATCTTTCTCTTTTTGTAACCAGCTTTATTGTAGGACGAGGAGCAGGGTTTCAGCACCATCTAGAAGATGCATGCTAACTGAACCTGTTCAGCCAGGATTCTATGACAAAGAGACCACTGGAGCCGACAATGCTGCTCCTTTAAGATCTCACAAGGCACTCACTTTGACCAGGGAGCTTCCCATTTCAAAGCAGGACAAATATTGCAGTGTTCCGTTGGAGGTTTAGACCCATCGTACACAGATACAAGGCTTTGTCCTTCCTTTACTTTGTCTTTGGTGGGTTTTTATTCAATCTGTTTGGGGTTTTGTGTGAGCCATTTGGGGGCTTTCTGAGCCACTCTGGGACTTCTTTATGAGTTATTTTGAGAGTTCAAAGTTCTTGAACTGTATTTGACAAAAAAGTCTTGATTAAGAGACAATGAGGGGAAGGGGATGTTGCTCAGCTGCACAGCGCCTGCCTGTCAAGCGCAAGGTCCTGAGTTCCATCCCTGGTACCAAAAAAGAGACAGAGACAATAAGATGCTAGAGAGAGACATGGGTGTATTTAGTGATCTCAGTTGTGATTTGCTTGGGAATAAAACGTGCTTGTGCTATGTTCTAAGTCCCTAGAAAAGTTTTAATGACCTGTTAGTTTTAAAAAGTGATTGGATACAGCATGGCTTGTATAATTGAAGGCGCACTCAGATTTACTGCAACTGTTCTTAAGATTCCATAAGCAACTTTTTCCAGGATAATATCTATAGCTGTTTTCCTTGCTCTTTTTCTGATTAGTGACAAATACCAGCAAGAGCCTTGAATGCCCATTGACCATGTAGCCACTCAGATAAATCATGAGCTTCCTTCGGCCAGGGATTTAGCTCAGAGGTTTCGCCGCCTGCTGCGCAAGCACAAGGACTTGAGTTTGATCCCCGGTACCAAAACAAAAAATCGTGAATTTCTTATAAAGGATTTATATTTCTCTCCATCTTGCCTAACAGTCCTTGGTTCATTCTAAACTGATCGTGCTTCAAAATAATGTCAAAACTTCAAAGGGGCCAAAGACATACGTTGGAGGAAAGATAGCCTATTCAACAAGTGGTGTTGGGAAAACTGGTTATCTGTTTGCAGAAGATTGAAACTGGGCCTATATCTCTCACTATGTACTAAATAAAAATGGATCAAAGATATAAACATTAAAACAGAAACATTAAACTTTCTGGAAGACAAAATAGGTAAAACACTTGAACTCATGAGTGTAAGAAAGGATTTCCTAAACAGAACCTCAATCACACAAGAAATAGCAGCAAGAATCAACAAATGGAGTTGTAGCAGACTAAAAAGCTTCTGTACAGCAAAAGAATCAATCAGTAGAGTGAAGAGACAATCTTTAGAACAGAAAAAAATTTTGCCAGCTACTCCTCAGACAGAGGACTGATATCAAGAATATACAAAGAGGGCCAGGGATTTAGCTCAGTGGTTTCACCACCTGCTGTGCAAGCACAAGGACCTGAGTTTGATCCCTGGTACCAAAAAAAAAAAAGAATATACAAAGAACTCAAAAAAATTAAACCACCTAAAATTAAAGAATCAGTCAAGAAATGGACAAGGGAAATGAACAGACACTTCACAGAGGAGAAAATACAAATGGTCAACAAATAATGAAAAAATGCTCAATATCTCCGGCCATTAGAGAAACACAAATTAAAATAATACTAGAACTCCATCTTAGTCCAGAAAGAATGACAATCATCAAGAAATCAAAGAATAACAAATTCTAGCTAGGCTGTGGAGAAAAAAGAATCCTTCTGCATTGATGGTGGAAATATAAACTAGTACAAGTGCAATACAAATCACTGTGGAGATTTCTCAAAGAACTAAAATTAGAAATTTCATATGACCCAACTATCCCCCTTTAGGTATCTTCCCCCCAAAAAGCTTAAGTCATTATACTACAGCAGTACTTGCATACCAATGTTTATAGCAGCACAATTCAAAAGATCTAAATCCTGGAAGCACCCCTGTATATTCATCAACAGATGACTGGATAAAAAAAATGCTATCTATGTTTAATGGAATACTACTCAGCTATAAAGAATGACAGATTTGAGACACTTGTGGGCAAATGGATGTACCTGAAATACATAATGTTGAGTGAAATGAACCAGACACGTAAGCTTAAATACGGTATGGTATCTCTTATTTGAATGAGGCAAAGTACAAACAAAGAAAATGATAAAGAATGGGCAGAAAGGGACAAAGGGACAGATTTCTTGCTATAGGGAAGTGGTCCAAGGGAAGAAGGGCGAGTGGTGAGGAGGAGGGGAAATTAGAAGAATAAAGATACACCATGTATAAGAACCTAATAACTCCAATTCATGTAAACACTATATGCCATAACATGAGCTAAGACAAGTAATATCAACATTATGAAAAAGGGGATGGGGAACCAGAGGAGGAGGGAGGGAAGGAAGGGGAAGAAGATTTAAAAAAAAAAAAGAAACAAGCTTAAATATGTATGTGTAAACAACTCCCCAAGATGATTGTGAACGGCATGAATTACAAACATGTCCTAATAAAAAAATTTAAATATTGTCAAAACTTCTGTTTGTGGAGATATAAATTTCTCACCTAACTATAATCAGAAATCCTACCTACATACATACAAATTCAGGATTAAGTATTGCTTAGCACTGTAAAATCAAAATTATGCCAATAATGTAACTTTTTAAAAGTTAGTAAATGACAAATCTAAATCTTTGTTTTATGTATATTCATGCACATGTGTGTATTTGTGTTTTTAAATTATTTACACCAAATTAATTTAAAAATAGGGCCAGGGATTTAGCTCAGTGGTTCCGCCACCTGCCTTGCAAGCACAAGGACCTGAGTTCGATCCCCAGTAATAAAAATAAATAAATAAATAAATAAAGAGTACTCTATAAAGCATAACCCTTATAAAGCCTTAATGCTTCTAATTCACATGACTTAAGCAAAAATTCAAAGACAAAATATAAAGTTGCCTTCAGAACTGTTATACAATTTGCCTGCATTAGCCAGTCAGAATTATATCTATAGATATGTGAGATGCAATTTCTAGGTCTTAACTACAACTTTTGAGAGGTTTTTTTTTTCTTCAGGTAAAGAAATGGATTGGGATATTGACTTGTGCTTTTCTCATGTCCTGTGTTTTGTAAGCAATGTAGAAATAACTGTTAAAGATTAAATTACATGAATATAAGTAAAATGTGAGTTATTCATAATTAAAATACTGAAGATATTCACTAAGCATAAATTCATCTATTCATGGCTTCTTAAAAATCTATAAATGTGTTTGGTATTATTATATTTCATAGGTTATTTATATATATCTTTCAGTTATATTTTCATTCTCTTTTTTTTCTCTTGGTACTGGGGATCAAACTCAGGACCATGTGCTTGCAAGGCAGGCATGATGCCACTGAGCTAAATTCCTGGCCTGGTTGTTTATACATATCTTGATCTTTTATCACTATATATAGTTATATCACTGTGATATGAGATTGAGAGGTATCTGATCCTTCAATAAGTTTGTCAGTGATTATTCTAAAGGGACAATAAGTATCTAGAAGTGAATATTTGTCAAAGTATAGGTCCACAGGTTGAAAAAATGAACTTTAAATGGTAAGTTTTAGTGACTGAGGGTTATACTTGCTCACCATTTAAAATATTTTAAACATACCGTGCATAATAGCACACACCTGTAATAACCAGCACTTGGGAGGCAGAGGCAGGAGGATCACCATGAGTTTGAGGCCAGCCTGGACTACATAGTGGGTTCAAGTCTAGTCTGAACTACATACCGAGACCCTGTCTCAAAAAATAAAACAAAACAAACGAAATACATTTTTTGAAACAATTAGTTTTTTCAGGAAAAAATATTTTGTTGTAAAGAGGTAATACAGTAAGTTACAAACATTCAAGTTGCGAATTTTCACAGATATGAACAGATATCACATTGTGAACATTCGCAGATATGAACAAATCACGGAAGTAGCTCACATGCCACTGGTCATTGTCACAGTTGTGCTACTGTGTGCTTACTGTACAGTGCGATAGCGCACAGTAGCACAGTGCTCAGTCAGAGGCCAGGACGTCCGGAAGCAAGAGGAAAAGCTGCAATGATGTGGAGTGGACTGCTAGGAAGCACAAAGCAATGTACACTGCATATTTGTGACAAAGGTGTATAAGACTCACTTTGTTGAACTTATAAACAAATCCGACTTATGAATGTTCTCCCTGAACAGAACACATTTGTAAGTCAGGGATGTACAGTAACTATGACTTACCTGACCTATGAATGGGTTTATTTATATACCCTAATACTAATAGTTTTAAGACACATTAAAAATGCTTGCTTCCTTCTCTGTAATAAACTCCTATTGTTTTCCTATCTAATCCTTGCTTAAATTGAAAAACTAAACACAATGCTTACATTCACAAAAACAAACACACACACAAAAAAAAACAAAAACAAGGAAAATAAGAAATTTTTCTGTGATTTCAAGCCTATGATTATCTTCTGGTGTCTACAGTTTTATGGCAGTGTCCAATTCAAGGCATGACTCTACTCTCGCTTGTAGACAGGGGAGACAGTCAGAGCCCATATCTGTGCTGGATAAGTAAAAAAGCTACCTACCAATTTATAAGCAATTTACAAGCCTGAATGCGGAAAGAAAAAAAGAAAGGAGGAAAGAAAGAAAGGAAGGAAGGAAGGAAGGAAGGAAGGAAAGGAGAAAACATAGAAGCAAGGTACAATCCAACACCTCTAACTCGCCCAAAGCAAATCCAGGGATCACTAAGGTTGAAGAAATCAAAAGCCACTCAGCTGAATTTTCTGAAATGGTACAAGAAACTACATGTATAAGCCAGGGATTTAGCTCAGTGGTGCTGCTGCCTGCCTCACAAGTTCAAGATCGCGAGTTCAATCCCTGGTACCAAAAAAAAAATGTGCAAGTCTTTCGACAAAGCCAAAACAGAAAAAATTACACAGAGATTACACAGAGCTTTAAGGGATGTTCTCATACAGAAGGAAATTGTGATGAAACAAAATTGGCACATTTGGCTGCAATTAGTAATTTAATAAGCTGGACCTCCTGTTGTCCCAGCACTTAGGAGGGATGAAGCAAGAGGATCATTTTAACCCACAAGTTCAAGACCAGCCTGGCAGTAAGACTCCCATCTCAAAAATAAAAAATAAAATAAATTAAATTAAATACTGAAAATAAAATAATAATATAAAAACCACTATCTTCATTTTTCAGTGACAAATTTAATCCAGATTTTTACTACTAAATGGGTTTTACCTGAAAAAAGCACAGTTGTTGCTGCAAGCAGAGCATATTCGGTATCACTTACGTTAAGTCCACTCATTCTTCTGTAGAAATAAAACAGTGAAGCAATAAATTCTTCAATGACACCTAAAAAGGTTAATACAAAAAAGAATTTTCATTAGAACATAGTAGAGAATCAAACATGTTGTTATTATCATTTTTCTCAAAATGATACAGTATAAGAAAATTAAACATTATATCTGACCAAATTTTATCAACCAATATGATATTTTATATTATGTGTATTACCAGTTAGAGTAGCAGAAGGGCAGTCTTCACTGCAAAATTTTTCCATAGAATAACTAATAGTTCCATCACCACTCTGATTATGACCATTCAATGTATGAGCTGAATTATTCAGCATTCCCATAGTACCTAGTAAAAGGGAAAAATTTAGTCTGATTTTTTTCTAATCCTTATACAAATAGCATATTCAGTGTCTGTCACAATCCAGAATAGTTGTTATGTGGAAAACCTTCCCAACGAATAGTAGCTTTATAATTTTTGTCATTGAAACGTTAAACTAGATTAATATCATAGAGAGATTGCATGGTAGACCCTCCATAAATGTATTTTCTATGATGCTGTACAGTAAAGATTGGCTTTCTATAAAAGAAAAACAAAGCTAAACCAATGTATTAGAAAATTCTAAGCAGCTATTATGATATATTTATTCCTCTATCACCTGGTAAAACAAAAATATAATTAAAAATAGCTCAATTTTATGTAAGTTGTTGTTAAATTGAACATAACTTGATATTAACATTTTTTAAAAAGCATTATTGCTAGATGTGTATGCCTGTAGTCCCAACACTCAGGAAGTTGAGGCCAGAGGATCAGTTAAGCCCAAGAGGTCAAGGACAATTTAGTTGAGACCCTCTTAGAAACGTGGGGGAGAAAGGGGTGGAGGGGAGGAAGGAAAGGAGGAAGGGAGGGAAGGAAGAAGAAAGAAATAAAGGCTTTCTTACTTTCAGAGGCTGCGTCTTTCTGACTGTAAAATTGGGCCACATGAAGAAACATTACTTCAATTTTTGATCCTTTCTGTAATGCAGTCTGATCCTCAATGGTCAAATTTTTAAACCCTTTAAGAAAATATCAGGAAGAAATAAATAATGAAAAGATAATTTTAAGATACAATATTCAACATTGTATTTATTTACTTATGAATCATAAATTTCTCCTCAGAAAAATCATGACATAGAACTAGGGATGTCGCTGAGTCACGCTTGCCTAGCATGTGAGAGACTCTAAATTTGAGTTCCAGCACTGCAAAAAAAAAAGCCTCATTCCATCTCCATCAACTGCAAAACAAAACCTAAAGAATAATCACAATATGCAACTACAAATCTAAATAAAATTTTTATTACACATAGTAACATTTTGGAGTACTTTTATTAGAACTGGGTAATATTTTTCCTATGGAACTGGATAATGCTTTTCCTATGGCAAGAACAAAATGAGCATATTTGATTTAGTCTTCAAATTTTTATTTCTATGAGTAACTGTACCTGTAAATAGATAGTTAAGTTTTAGCCAACAGTGGCATGATTTTTTAGTATCCCATAGGGACTTTTCTGTATTTCATGTTCTGTCTAAAAAATAAGCCAAGCCTTGTGGAATATTGCCTGTAATCCCAGCACTCAGGAAACTGAGAAAAGAGGATCATGAATTCAGGGCCAGCCTGGGGTACATAGCAAGACCCTACCTCAAAAAAAACACACAAAATATATTAATAATAAAAATTTTTAATAAATGAAAAACAAAAAAGTCACTTCCAAAAATTAAATAAAACATACAACCAAAGCATATTTGTTTTGACTTCAAGGCTCTGAAGTCATTTGAATAATATTTTTATGTACTGTATTTAGACTTTCACCCGCCTAATTAAAGCAAACATGTTTTGGCAGTTAGAAGCAGCACTGGTAGGGAAAAACAAAACCTTTTGTTTTCCTACAGTGTTCCCTTCTTTTAAAGCAGGACCTTTCATAAAAGATGGTTTTAAGTATTAATGTATTCCAAAGCCAATGTAAATACCTGGGAGTCTCTTGGTAAAATCCATCAGCCCATGCATGTGTAGAACTGCTGTCTCTGAGAGTTGCACAAAGCTCAGTTTAGGATTGGCATTTTCCTCCATCTAATACATTTTTAAAAATATAAATGTTATTTTGATTCGAATAACTATTGAAATTTTAAACTGTTATTTTTATGCTCTTATTGTCTAATATAAATAATTATAAATTATTTCTTGCCAGTGATGAATACATACAACTTTTTTTGTTTCCTCTAAAGGAACTGTATAGTTTTGATGAGCAGCTACAATGTTACTAATAAGCTGATGTTCCTCTTGAGTTAATTCCATGCTCTCCTGAATCTATAAAAAAAAATACAGGGAAACTATAATTCATACTTATTGAACAAGATTTCATTAACAAAAGAAAAAATTGTGCAAGAAAAGTCTTGCCATTTTTCCAGTGGATGACACAAGTTTGTTGTCTGTTCCTTTCTCTTCCACTTTGATGTTAGAGTAAAAATTATTCTTCTCCTTAAAGTTCTTTCGAAGTCTTTTTGAATTACACTGGATTTCTGTGAGCAAACCTGTGATATTACAAAAGTCATTAAAAATGTTTTTGGCATGAAAAATAACATTATAGGATTTCATAAAGAATTGTCTTATATTGCATATATACATATATATGATCATAGATGTCTTTTTACAAAGAATCCTTCTTTTTGCTCATATATGTTATGCTTACTACAGTTCTTTCTCCTTTTCCTTCTATATCTATCTTATCTACTTAAAAGTACATAGTCATCCCAAACAGAGATTAAAAATTAATTCTCCATCTCCAAATTACAAGTTCAGATTTTTATATGGAAATTTTACACATTAATTGTATCTTAGAATCAATATAGAATACATTTTTCCACATTAATAAAGGGAATCATCTAGTAGAGCAATTCACTACCTTATCTATATCTTGCTATTTTTTCCCTTTTTTTGGCAATCCTGAGGATTGAACCCAGGCCCTCACATACTAGGCAAGTACTCTACCACTGAGCTATATGCTGGTCCTCTCAGGCTTATTCTTGACTTTTATAACATAAGGTCAAGAGAATAACATGATTTTTAAATGAGCTAAGTAAATTCTTTTCCTTTACAACAAGGCAAGTATATATATTATATATATTATATTTATATACATATAATTTTATATACATTATATTTATATATATAATTATATATATATATAATTTTTTTTGGCAGTGCCAGAGATCAAATCCAGAGCTCCACTCATGGTAGACAAGTGTTCTTCCACTGACCAACCTTCTCTGCTGTTTTTATAAGGTAAACAATTTCTATTTGGGGCATGTTGCTCTCATAGATTTTTAATTCTTCAACTGCTACTTCTACCTGAACAGCAGCAGCTATCATAAATCACTACTAAAATTAACCAAATATTAATACTTACCTTGTGTTATAACTGTAATTTTTCATAAACATTTAAAACACTTATTATATTAAAATGTTACACCAGAAGCAGAGCTGGAAAACAAAATGAAAACCTTAGCCCCTTTCTAAATGAGTTCATTATTTTGTTAGGGAGCAAGAATACATCAAAATATGAAGTCACTTAAAAGATACCAAGTAAATATAAAAATTATTTGAACTGCATACACAAATGCAAAAATGAAATACAGATAAGAAGTCATTAGAATCAGATGAGATTAATTGTAAGGTGGCTTACTAAAGAGATGTATTTATAAGAAGTGTTAGTGTAGTTGACAGAAAGAAGAGTCCCCTACAGAAAAAAAAAGAATACCAGAGAGATAAAATTAAACCGATCATGGAAGGAAGAAAAATAAACTGATAAAATCTTACACAGAGGCAAGGGGAAATGATGGTAAAGAATTTCAACTGAAGAACTCTTTCCTATAACCACAGGAACTAGGAGGAAGTACCTGAATTCCATTCTATGTATATAAGACCATGTCTTGAGTACCATATTTTGTAATGGACACAGCACTTTAAAACACAGAAAAGAACTCATCAGGAACAAGATACTGAAAGTATTGGCATATGATAAGGCAATCAAGGCTCCAAAAGAAAGGAAGGGAGTAATGTACAAAGATGTTTTATAGGTTTCTATCATCAATTATGAAGCTTTAAAAAGACAAATCAAGTACTAAATACACTGAGTATTCAAAAGGGTAAGTGTATTTTATGGTTTAGATCTAAAATATCCCTGAAAAAGCTCATACGTTGGGCCGGGGATTTAGCTCAGTGGTTCCGCCCCCTGCCTCGCAAAAGTTCGCATGTTCAAAAGATGAACTTTTGGAAGGTGATTAGATCATGATGGTTCTAACTTCATCAGTGGATTAATCCAATGATGAGATCATGATGACGATGGCATTATTGAGATGTGACAAACACAGGAAGTAGGACCTAGTTGAAGGGAGCGGCTGCTAAGGTGTGACCTAGGGGATTATATCTTGTTCCTGGCCCCTTCTCTCTGGCTCTTTCCATCTCTCTCTGCTTTCTGGACACTATGAGGTGAGCAGCTTCCCTCTGCTTCCACTCTTCCACTATGTTTCTGTCTCACCACAAGCCTAAAGCATGGCTGACCATGGACTGAAACCTTTGATACTATGAGCCAAAATAAACCTTTCTTCCTTAATGTTAAAATACTTTCTTTATATCAGGTATTTTGTCACAGTGGTAGAACACTAACACAGTGCAAATGAAGATCTATGGTCATGATAGCAGGAATCTGAAAGTACATAAATAACACCTGAATAATGCTCATGTCCACTTACCATGGTAGCTACAATCATATCAATTCTTTTCTCAACCTTGACATAATTTCTTACAGTTTATAGGGAAGGAGGGCAGATTTTATTTATAGATTCCCACAGAAGAACGTGAGTTCCCTTTCACATACATTTTTAGGTATCAATTAAAAGGTAATTTATGAGGAATTAATATGACTTGGATTGTGTTCCCAAACTTCAGATAATAAAGCTGTACCCTTCGGTGTCGTGCTATTTGAAGTAAAGCCTTTGGGAAGTAATTACATTTAGATGAAGTCATGAGGGTGGGCACTGATGCTGGATTAATCTCCTTATAAATAAGGATACCAGAGAGCTTACTCTCTCCTCTCTCTGCCACATGAAAAGGCGATTGTCTATAATTGGAAATTATCATGACAGTTCAAGGTAGATTGAACTAGAAAGAATAGAGGAATATCTGGAAAGAAAACAATATAATAACATAAGTGTAAAGTAATAATAGTTTGGATAAGGCTAGATTAGTCATAAAATGTTAATAGTACTCTATAGAGAAAAATTAAATTACAAATCACCTGAGATTTTGATCCATAAGCAATAGGCAGAATTCAGGAAATAATGCTCATGTCTCCAAGGATTAAATGACATCATTTAATTTAAGCAAGAGGGCTGGGGATTTAGCTCAGTGGTTTCGCTGCCTGCTGCACAAGCGCAAGGACCCGAGTTCGATCTCCAGTACCACAAAAAAAAATAATAATAATAATAATAACAATTTAAGCAAGAAATATAGTGAATGTAGAATGGACTCAAGGGTAAGAGATCTCCTGCTTGTGAAGCTCAGTTTTAACACTTGTGTGTTAATTGTTAGAAAGCTCTACATACCTAGATATGATGTATGCTTTGGGGAACTACTAATTTAAAATTATGGGGTTTTGGCTGTATTATGTCACCTTAGCTTAAGAAACATTAAAATATAAGAATTTCTAATTAAGAAGAAAATATAAGTATTTCTAAAAGTAGAGAAATTTAGTATAGAACAGGATTTATGAAAATAATTAGATTGGTAATTAGCTATTTTAATTGGTCAGTTTTCAGAAAAATAGCTTAACTCCAAACATGTAAATGTTCAAAATGGCTTGAATAATGTATGAAGATAAGAAAAATATTAAAACTCCAAACAAAAATGGACTTACATTCTGCCAACATTCCTACTGCCTTACATTTTTTCAGTCTGCACTCTTGACATTTTCTACGCATGTACATGTCCATTTCACAATGACCACCATTCTTGCAATTATATACTGCATTCTTGGTGATGCTACGTCGAAAAAAACCTAATAATAAACAAATTTTTAGATTTTAATATACATATTTTAGTTACTTGTCATTTGTAATAATGTATGTCTTCATAGTAGAGTTAAGTAATCCAGTTGACCTAAATTATTTCAATAAAATGTTTTTCCCTTAATAAAAAGGTTTGGTTAATATACATTTATCTGAAAATTTAATTAATCCTTTCCTAGCTGCTATGTTTTATTCCATGGTTATTCCTTGTAATTATCACATCTGGAAATTAAACTGAATAGCTATTTCACACTAAGACAACAGCCTGTTCTAGTATGATTGGGCCTGCATGGTGGGACATGCCTGTAATCCCAGCACTTGGGAAGCTGAGTCAGGAAGATCGCCATAAATCTGAAACCTTGTGTCAAAAAAAAAAACCCACACTATTTTAATATGGTTACAATATATCACCATAAAGCATTTCTAAAATTGTGTTTCATAGAATATAAAGCTCCCTTGAAGCATCTCTCAAGGTTCCCTTAAAAGAATATGTGGTCGTGTGAAATAAAACTACAAGAAAAATATTTTTCCTTCTTCACTTTTCCACTTCAAGCCTCTAAATTAGAAATATTCCTCCAAACTTGCTCCTCTGTCCATCTCCCTTCTTTATCACTTCCCAGATGAGAAAGTGTGGCAGTTTATATGGTCTGAGACACAGAAGGAGCCAAGATTGGTGGGAGAAAGGATGCTTTTTCTCTTTTACTTCCTAAACCCAGTACAGCAGTTCCTCTTGCTATTTTCTCCTTTTTTCATTTGTTTGTTTCTTAGTTTTTGTTTTTGTTTTTGGTTTTTTTGGGGGGGGGTTGTTTTTGTTTTGGTTGTGTTTGAGACAGGATCTTGCTATGTGGTTCAGGCTGGCCTGGAGCTCATTATGTAGCCCAGCTGCCCTCAAACTCCTAGTGATCCTCCTGCCTCAGCCACCTGAGTGCTGGGATTATAGGCATGTACCACCACACCCAGCTCTTCTTTATTCTTGCTCTATGCAGTAATCCCTTCTAGCTTTCTCTCCTTCCCTTCAGAACAATAAAGTTTATCAGTGTGGTCAATGCTCCTCTTTAAAGCCTACCAGGTCTTTTTCAGTAGACACTTGAGAGCAGAAACTTCCTATTTTAGATTCAACAAAGGGAACAGAAAGCTCAGCTTGGGTTTTTAGAACTATACCTCAGTGTTCAACCGAGTTTTAATAGCAAGAGCCTGCATTTCAAGAATAAAAAATATTTGCCCAGCTATTCTGTTTACAAAACTGTTACCTCATTTAACTGTTCTTTACCAGAGTGAGTTGTAAGCTTCTGACAGTAAAATTTCACTCTGAACCTCTAATAAACATGTTTAGCCATCCTACCTAGGCCTAATCATTTTCAGCTCCAGTCTCAAACACTGTGAAGGAGTGGGAGAGGTAGTACTAGAGATCAAAACCAGGCCCTCATGCAGGTTGTGCCTCTAGCCTTGCTCTTGTACATTTAAAAGAATGCAAATATGCTTCAAAATCCTCAAAACTGTTCAAAATCAGAGACTATTTGACTCTACAAATTCTGTTATTAGTATTGGTCTTCACATTCAGACTTCCAACTTGCTTTCAAACAGGAATTTCAAAAAATAGAATCTTAGAAATTATTTAATTCAAATTCCTTCTAACTGCATGAATTATATCAACCACATAAAAAGATATACTAGTCAACATTCGAGCTGGACACAGTGGCGCCCTCCTGTAATCTCAGCACTCTGGAAAGCTGAGGAGGCAGGATCAAAAGTTCAAACCCAACTGAGGCAATTTAGCAACTTAGAGAGGGGTGGGGGGGCATAGCTCAGTGCCCCAGCACAGCAAAAGGAGGAGGAAGAAGAAAAAGGAGAAGGAGGAAATTGAAAATTAAACCTAAACTTACTTTTCATTTTCATGTCTTTCATCCCATGAATTGATCCCTTTAAACATGTCATGATCCTCTCTGATTTTGTTTTTCACACTTTACTAAGAAGAGTATTCTCACCCGCCTAGTGTTTCGTGACTGTTCAGTGGACCCTAAGATTTCAGTTTTGTGTTAACTTGATCCTTACCTTTACAACCTTCACAGGTAAGTGCATTATAATGATATCCTGATGCTTTATCACCACAAACCACGCAGACTTCCTCTTGTCCTTTCATTCGCAAAGAACAAGTTGGTCTGGACCTTTTCATTCTAGGGTATCCATCTTCCCCATCATGAGTCACCACAAAAGTGGGTTTATTTAATTCACATGGATCAAATACACACTGTCCATCATCACTGTACTGTTGATTCAAGCAATAGGTGTTGCAATTACTTTGTAAAGATTGAGACTGCAAAACTGGAGGCAACTGAGTCGTAGGATAATGACAATAAGGTGATTCTTGAAAATCAGTGTCGTGCTGCTGATAATTGACTTGTTCTGGCAAAATCTCTAGTTTTATTAACAAAACAGAATAAATGATGAAAAGTCAAAATTTCATAATTGCTTTCAAACTTCAAAGTGTTTCACACTCAACAAACAGGGTTAGTTCAACATGTTCACTCTATCCCAGGGGTTTGCTGTCCAGCACGCTGGACATACAGTAAAAAAAAGTATAATACACGATAAATGCTACCATCCCGGAGGCATGCAGGGGTTTAAACTGGAAGAAAGGGAAATCATTATCTGACCCTTGCAAAAGAAAAAAAGAAAAAGAAAAACTGAAACACAACTTTACTAGTTATCTAATCAGAAAGCCCTATTACTGTATCTTAACACTCTCCTTTGCCTTTTGTAGCCTGATTTAAATTACTAATTACATTTTGTTATTTATCTGAGGATACCTACTTTTTTTTACCTACTTTGTAATATTATGTTTTGGTGGTGGGGGTTGTTTGTTTTTTGAGGCAGTCTTACTATGTAGGCCAGGATGGCCTTGAATTCCCAGCTATCTTCCTGCCTCAGCCTCCCAAGTGCTACGACTACAGATGTGCACCACCACACCCAACTAATTAAACATATTCTCGTTCATACAGTTTAGATAACACTATCTGTAAATAAAAGCATATGATGTCTGAATAACATAAACTTATTTTCCCCAAAATTCTACCACTAAGACTGATAAAAAGCATAATTTTTATTACTTCACATAACTTACAATCTTATAGCACCCACTATAATTAATGCTAGGTATTGAATGCATACCAAATAATCTGAGGTAAGAGAAAAATGATCAGTAAAATAATGTGGCTTTAAAGAAGAAGAAGAGGGGCCGGGGATTTAGCTCAGTGGTTCTGCTATCTGCCTCGCAAGCGCAAGGTCCTGAGTTCCATCTCCGGTACCAAAAACAAAAACAAAAAACTGTATGTAAGATTAACTTTATAGTATCTCCTTGGTCTTTTGGTAGAAAATTTTTATTGTTTTTTGCATTGTTTTCTCTCTCTTTCCATTTTGCAAGATTCTTATATTAAGACTAAAATTTTTAAGTATGAATAGCTATTGTGAATGGTATTAACTAAATTGCATAAAAATTAGCTTTAGCTAACCACTAAAAATAACTTCGAATTTGCATATTAATTTCTTTTTTAAAAGTTAAGTAATATTTGCACCTGTATACAATGCCTCCCATCTTTTTTCCCATTCTCCCTCTCCCCCCAAGTCCTCCTCCCCTCCCTATGTATAAAAGCTTTGTTTCCATTTTTCTCTTCTATTTTCACTTTTTCTTTTCTTGTCCCTTCCTTCCTTTCTCCCTCTCCCCTCCCTTGTTCCCCTTCCCATTTGAACATTTTCTTCCCATTTCCCAATATCTATTATACATTTTAGTCCTTATTTCCGTATTGTGTACAGGTGCAAATTCCCTATGATGAGTGTTATCATTATGTATGTCAAAAAGGTACCAATTAATGTTTTTGCTATTTTAAAAAATAAAAATAAAAAAGTTAAAGAGTCACCATAAAAAATTAAATAAAATTTTAGATTATTGTGCCTTTCTCTCATTATCTTTGACTCTGGATTACAATATATGACTGATTCTTGAAATGTATTATTTTCTCTCATAGGGAATAACTGAAGGTCATTTGTTCATTTGTTAATTTTTTTTGGAAGAAAATCTCTGTAGTTAACCATAACACCCCCCAAAAATGTTTTACTATTTTATTGTATTTGTTACGAACCGTAGAACTGCACAGGTTCAGCAAGACAGTGCCCATCAGCTGTAGTGACATAAGTATATGCCATTCTCTAGTCCAATTAGCACTGCTTCATTCACTTCAGACAATGCTGCACATTTCAGAATAAAACCTGATGGAAAAAAATTTTGCAGACAATTTGAGAGGGTAATTGTTAAATTAGTATGATTTTATAAAATTACAATGGAGCTTTTAAAAATAAAAAATTTAGCAGAACTTAGATTTATATTTATACTTTAATTGGGAAATATTGCTTTTTCATATCTCTATATACCATATTATTCAATATTTAATTTAAAATATTTTTTCAATATCTTTTTGCTCAACACTTTACAAATAGCATAATAAATCTTTGTAGTAATCATTATAACTCTTGAAAGTGGACTAAGATTTGAAATCAGGCCTCATACACTGTTTTCACCACTCATGTTATTTATTAAACCTCCCTAAACCTTAGCTTCCTCTTTTGAAAAACAGAAGTAGTAAAATCTTTCAGAATTGTTGAATTTAATTAGTGTATTAAAACCCAACACAATTCCCAAGATTATTATTCTAGTGGTTTCCTGATTCCCAAGATTATTGATTCCCAAGATTATTAGACTTTTTCACAAATATGGAGGAATTAAATAATAGAAAAACAATAGCTTTTATAGCATTTTTAATCTTCCAAATTTTTTGTCATAGTATTATAGGCAACTAACTTAGATAGAAGTTAATATACAGTCAGAAAGAACCTGGGCTCTCAAGGAGGTCAGAATTGTGGCTGGAGGCGCATCTAAAGAAGAACAGGCCTCATGATAAAGATGCAATGGCCAGGCCTACATGCCTTCCTAATGCATAGACAGCGACTTGGAATTATTCTGTAATTAGCACCACCTGGTCCAGGAAGTGCAGATAGGCATCAGTCACCCAAGTGGGTGATCGGAGCATTTGGACACATTCTTTCCCAAAAATGCCTTTGTTCTTTCCACGTACCCTTGCTGTGTGACTCATTTCCCTATTGGATAAATATTGGCTAAGCAGCTATACTTGTAATCCTACAGGTTGATTATAGTTTGAGCCACATTGTACCCACATCGTGACTTTACTATATAAATTATCCCTGACAAAGAGCCTCAGTGCTACCCACTCGGGATCCCTCCTGTCTCTTAGGAGCCATCTCTCAATAAACCTTTCCTACTCTTACCTTCTTTGTTCTTTGCAATTCATTCTTCATTTTCAGGGGACACATACTGGGCACATCTGACATCTAGTAGGTTGGGAGTTATATTTCTCCTATATCAATAGCACTGTGACATGTTAAACATTCAATCATTGATTTTGGTTCTGCTTGACTAGTCACAACTCTTTATTACTTACTAAAAAATGTGTTTTACTTTTACTAATAACCCTAAAAATGTAAAATATCATGAGGAAAAATTATCAAAATCTAAATCATCATCTATAGGAAAACTATTTTTGTTATGTTCTAGGAAAGAATTCCAGAAAGGATATATCATTGAATAGAATTAAACAGGAACTCACAATTTAAGGAAATTAGAAGTTATTGAAGAAAATAAAAATCCCTCTAGAGTGCATTATATTTTATAGCTTTATCCTCTCCATTAGAAGACAAAGATTATTTTTCACCTTTAAAAGAACCAAATAAAGAAGAAAATTGGTTGTATATCATACAAAAAGATATACATACATGACAAACTTCTGAGATAGCTTCTGAGATTACTGAAAAACCATGTACAAATGTGATAGTTTCATGGCTAAGATTTCTGCATCCATGAAGATGATTCAACTAATAATATATCTAAAATTTGTCTTTCTTATTATCTAGTAGTACCTAGGTTTCTTTAAAAGCTCTTGAATCTCCCAGTCCTCTGCTAGTATAGCAACAATACTATAGAATATATATTGGATGTAACAGCTGAAACAAGAAAAGTTCCTCCAAATAAGTGTATTTTCAATATGAAGCTTTCCTTGAAAAGTAAAGACCATTATCAATTGCATCAAACAGAGCACAGGTACTATTTTTCCTCTACTACAAATCAATTGGTGCTATATGAATAGAATTGTACATACTATTGGTTTAATTTTTGTGATACTTTTTAGAAATACTTCTGTTCAGTTCTTTCCAACCTTCTCTTTGAATCTTAATTAGATCTTAGACCATTATAAATGAATTAGAAAACTTGAAGCTATTATTTACCCTCCTTTTAAAATTGCCACATTTACCATTAAATTTCACATAATACAATATTAAAGATCTGAAGAAAATTGAAAATTAAAAAGCATTAAGTACTGCTTAGATATAGACTTCACTGACAGAGAATTTAGTTGAAAGTATAGACCAAACTAGAGGCAATATATTAAACAAAAATGGTAATATCTTGATAAACATGCACATACCTTATAATAATGCCACTATTATCAATAACAGTGTTTTTAAACCAAGTCCTTCCACTACTGGTAAATAAATACCTGAAATAATGCTTACACAGTTCTGGTTATACTCCATTATATATGGGACATGTACATAAATAAACCTATATTTTAAAAGATGCCTTTAAAATCAAGTGTGGTGATGCACACCTGTAGTCCCAGCACTTGGAGGTTAAGTCAGGAGAATTACTGCAAGTTTGAGGCCAACCTGGGCTATACAAAAAGTTCAAGGGAAATCTGAACTACATAGTGAGACCCTGTCTCAAAAAAAACCAAAAAGAAAAATAAGATGCCTTTAAAATATGAAATATCTATCTTTTATATGCTTGCAATAATATTTGCACTATTTTTACATATTTTTCACTAATTAAATTTTAATCCAGACCATGTTTAGTAGAAGAATTATATGTGCATAGTAAAATAAATCATTTGAAAATAGTGTTCATAAAATTAGTTTTAAAATATTTAAATAAATTATTAGTAACAGAGAGGTATGTAATCAAAAACTTTCTATCACATTAAGAAGTTGTGATGGGTCTAGAAAGATTGTTTCATCTTTTCCAGTAAATATTTATTTAAAACAAAATAATTTATTAAAATAGGAGCTTTTTTTTAGTATTAAATTCTTTTATTGATACATTGTAGGTATACAACACAATTACATTTCTCATTGGGAATTGTACTTTTATATAATGCATCTTGGTTCTTATTTTTTCCCCATTCCTAGCCCTCCCTTCACCCGCTCCACCCTTCCCTAAAATAGGAGCTTTTATAAGGAGGATCAACTTGTCATGAACAGAATCTGTTTTTTCTTTATAAATATAATTTTCATTGAAAGTTGTATTTTTAGCAGATTATAATGGTTATCCTGCTGAGAAGATGCTTGATTCTATAAATGAGTCTACATTTTCTCTGCCATAAGCAAAAATTGTTTTTAGTAAACTTTTAGCTATTAAACCTTTAACAGCAAAAACATTGATTCCTAAGAATTAAATCTACATACTGGAGAATTTCACATTTTTTATACTTTACTCTTGTAAAATATTTCACTTGGATTATTAATAAATGAATCCCATGAATTTATACAACTGAAAAGTAGACTGTTTCAGAAGGAAAACAATTTAGTTTCATAGCAACCTCTTCTAAAAGAATGATACATGAGGTCTTAAGATAGATGCCGAGTGGCCTCTTCCTGATTGAAGAAAAGATGTGGAGCGGACTGCTGTCTCCTGGCTTAAATGAAACTGATATTGAGTCAAATTCTGAAGATGAGGCCACACCACAGAACTTTGATCATAACTTACAGGAAGATAAAGAGGCTAGGACCATTAAAGAAAGAGAAATCTCAGGTTTGTCAGCAGATAAACCAAAAGCCAAAACAGAGGCCAAAGCAAATGCATATGAAGAGTGCCCTTCTGGAATTCCCTTAAATATGTGGAACAAATTTCAAGAATTGCAGGGCCAGGGATTTAGCTCAGTGGTTTGGCCGCCTGCTGTGCAAGCAAGCTCAAGGACCCAAGTTCAATCCCTGGTACCAAAAAAAAAAA